ACATTTCTGGTGTACAGAATTCTCACTTTTTCACTTTTACACATCTTGATGACACTAACTTCGTAAAGAATTTAAGTATTTCACAAAAACGTTCTAACTTTCTGAGTTGAGTGTGTGATGGGTCGCTTCAGAAGGGATGTGCTCCAAGGAAGAGAGTTCTAGAAAGGTTCCCATATTTCAGTCATTTGCTACATATTTTCTGTACAGTGAGTGTTAGCACAGAAGCATAGGTAAAGCATTAGTATGCATACAGAATGTTGTTGACATGATTGACAGTTTCCTGTCGTGAGAAGAATGTGAAGCAGAGAGAGAGAAAGAAAGTGAGAAAGACAATGGAGTGTGAGAGAGAGAGAGAGAGCAGACGGATAGATGTTAGTGCTGAAGCTGTGGTCTCACCTTAAGGCTGCAGGTACAGCCTCCCTCTAAACCCTCTAAACCTCAATAACATCATACTTGTTTGTCTCGAGCTTTGGAAAAATAACCTTATCAACACCAATTTGAAATTTATTCAAAAAATTGCAATGAATGTAGTGAATTAATATTATTAATACATAAATGGCAACTATATATATATATATATATATGTGGGTGTGTGTGTGTACTGTGTACATGCATTTTAAGTCTTGAAACACCATCATTATTCTATCTTTTTGTGAAGACAAAAACAACCGATCTGCAATTCTGAAACGATTTATAAATATTTGTGTCACTTGTCACACCCCTGTGGACTGTCGATTGTGGTTTCTCCCTCTGTGTCCTTATTTGGTTGTTCCTGTTCTCATTATCAGTTAATCACCTCATTGTGCTCACCTGTCTGCCCCTCGTTAACTGCCCTACATTTAGTTCCTGTCTCTTGTATTCTAGTTTGTCGGTTATTGTGAATTTTACCCTGAATGTTAATGTCCACCCTGTCTGGATTTCCTGTTGTCAAGTCATTAAATATCCTTTTATTCGTCATCTTCGTCTTCCTGCCTGATCTCTGGAACACCCTGCCCGTGACAGAATAACCGACCCAAAAACAGTTTAACTTCCGTGTTCTCCCCTCCGTTTGTTTTCCGGTTTTTCCTCCGTGTCCCTCCTGTCTCCTCCCTCCTTCGTCGCCCCCCTGGTCTCTGTCTGCCGGCCTCCTCCCGGATATCCGTCCTCTGCCGGAGCCTCCACTCTGCCTGCCAGCCCTTTGCCTTCCCCTGTCTCCATCCCACATCCTCTCCTTTGTCCTCCTCCTAAGTCCCCCTCCGTCACTCCCTCTGTCTCCATGGCGCGAGGACGTGCCTTCCGGGAGGGGGGTGATCTGTCACACCCCTGTGGACTGTCGATTGTGGTTTCACCCTGTGTCCTTATTTGGTTGTTCCTGTTCTCATTATCAGTTAATCACCTCATTGTGCTCACCTGTCTGCCCCTCGTTAACTGCCCTATATTTAGTTCCTGTCTCTTGTATTCTAGTTTGTCGTTATTGTGAATGTTACCCTGAATGTTGATGTCTACCCTGTCTGGATTTCCCGTTGTCAAGTCATTAAATATCCTTTTATTCGTCATCTTCGTCTTCCTGCCTGATCTCTGGAACACCCTGCCCGTGACATCACTAGTGTTGTCAGCTTTTTCCTGCAACTCTGCACTACTGTTGTGGCAGCTGATATGTCATTGCAGTTGACTCTGCATGCATGGTCTAATTCTGTATCTAACACACCATAAATCTGCTGTGTCACTGTTACCATACCATTACTACCATAACGCAAGGTGCATGCCAATCAGACCTTTTTTCACTATTCAACATTTTTCTCAATCCACACCAGCCATAACATTCATAGTGATAACATGGCAGTGCAGAGAAGCCACATTCACAAACTTTTCTCTTACCACAGAAAATATGTTACACACTGCTAAAAACACCATGTGGCTTCTGCTGGGGTTTAAATAAAAACAAAACCTAGGGGTAATCAATGATAATTTGTTTGAGTAATATCATTATTAACAAGATATATTTTCAGAATCCGTATGGAAAATATCAAGTTTGTTTTCAAAATGCTTAAGAAGCATTGAAAAAATTGTTGTTGACCTCAGAAAATTTAGCAGACCACTTTTATAATACCTCTATGGTGCTTTTTTGTAATTTTGTAGCTTGACAGATATGGTCACCATTCACTTTGATATTTTGAAAAGAGTGGCCAGGATATTCATAAATATTCAAGAATGCCATACGCATGGCCGGACTTACCATTGGGCTTGAATGGGCTGCAGCCCAGGGGCCCCGCCTTGTAGGGGGCCCCGCCTTAACGCGTTTACATTTGTTCAGTTATGTGCCAGTCAGAAATTATTAGCCGCATTTCAACTGCGCACACGGGCCAGCCGGGGCTAACAGCTTCCAGCTTCCAACTACAACATTCAAACCCATAATCAAACAGCATAAACCGGAATTTATGATTTTTTTTCACATAGAAAAAAGACACACGTATTAAATCACGTCTGCGCTGCGCCGAATCGCCAATTAATTTGTGATCTTTAAACGAGTTCCATTAATAAACGCTGCGGACCCGGATACGGGTCCAAAATCGCGTAAAAAATGTTTATGCTTCATTTACATAGCCTTCCTTATATGGTATCAGCCCATATATGGGTTCATTTGAAAGCTTGGAGTGTCTTCTTTACAAAGAATACCATTCCTTTTGGTTTTTATATTCATAAAGCAGTACTCTGATTGTTTTTGTTGTAGAATACGATAGGGGATATATTCACACGTTATATAAACGAAAATGATGGTGTATAAAATTGATTTTAAAATAGAAAATTAGACGACAAAGAATTAGCTTGACGGAGCTCAAACTCAAAAAAGGCCGGAGAAGGTGGGGGGAGAGGGGGGTCTTCAAATCCGGGAATTTACTGCTGGGTGTTTTGGAACTCGATGTTTTGAAGGCGAGTTTCCCTCACGGAAAGGGTACTTACTGCACATGCGGCTCGGATAATATCAATCTATGATAATCATATTACAAGTTATATATGGTGAAGAACGTTCAGCGGCGCCGTGGAGAGGAATGAACGCGCGTCTGGTAAGGCTAT